ATGCACAGCCTTTCCAAACCCTAGGGTAGACTGTGATCCCGGAAGAATACTTCTTCTCTGGTTCTTTCTGTGAAACTTCTGATTGCTTGACCATTTTGCTCCTTGAATCCTGGAGCTGTGACTGCCCTCTTAACTGCTTTACACTAAGACCTCCATTGTTTTCAACAAACATTTAGGCATGGAATTCTCCTCTGTTCCAAAAAAAGGTAAGTCCTCTCAGACAGACCTGCAGACCTCTGGGTAGGATGTCCGTGTCTCTGCACAAGAGCTAAAACTAGAGGCGGGGCAGTGGCCCACTTTTGCTCTACAAGCAAAGAGAGACTTTTGCTCTACCAGCAGGAACTGGATAGCCCCTAGTCTCCTTGGCTTGCACTTCTTGGTGTATGTAGAACCCTTGCCCTAATAATAAGCTGGGACAAAAAACTGGGGGCCAAATATTCTTCATCTGCCACTTCCGGGGGAGAGCTTATACCCTGCAAAAGGGGCCTGGGTTGAGGACGGGAGCCCCCTTGTCTTGACACCATAGTCTAGGATAGAACTTCTGTAGTAAGCTGCAGCTGGTGGGATGAATAGTGCTGGCAGTCTGCTGATAAAGGGTGAAATAACAGAGTGGGAGCGAGACGAGGGCGCCTGCCTGGGTTAGAGCTTCGAGAGTAGTTTCCATAAGACATAACTGATGTGTGGCTCAAATGTCACAGATCTAGTAGACCGTTTCGAATGAATGATGCTCCATTTGCTGGGTGCCCTTAGAACATTTCCTAATAACGCCAAATGATTGTTTTACATAATTTTCTCCAGCTAAATGTTTGTTTGCTGGGAAGAGAGTTCATTCTAGAAGTCAGTCTCCTAAGCTCAAGAATTTTGTTAAATACAAGAGGATTTAAAAAATCTGTATCAGGCAACCTGGGTGGCTCAGTCGGTTAAGCGTCCGACTTTGGCTCAGTTCATGATCTCATGGCTTGTGAGTTCAAGCCCCGGGTCGGGTTCTGTGCTGACAGCTCGAAGCCTGGGGCCTGCTTCTGATTCGGTCTCCCTATCTCTCTACTCCTCTCCTGTTCACGCTCTGTCTCTCCCTCTCTCAAAAATAAATATACACGGGGCGCCTGGGTGGCGCAGTCGGTTAAGCGTCCGACTTCAGCCAGGTCACAATCTCGCGGTCCGGGAGTTCGAGCCCCACGTCGGGCTCTGGGCTGATGGCTCAGAGCCTGGAGCCTGTTTCCGATTCTGTGTCTCCCTCTCTCTCTGCCCCTCCCCCGTTCATGCTCTGTCTCTCTCTGTCCCAAATAAATAAATAAACGTTGAAAAAAAAATTAAAAAAAAAATAATAAATAAATATACATTAAAAAATTAAAAAAAAAATCTATATGAGGCAGGGGCTCTATACATAACTCATTTAATTATTTTGAAATATCTCCACCCACTTACCCACTTATCTACATATTATTTCTCTTATTTCAGGTAAGGACAAAGATGTAAAGTTATAGTAAATCCTTGAAGTCACAGTGCCAGAAGGATGGAGCAAGTGCAGATACACATGTGATACCAAAATCTTGTTCCATGACCATGCGAAGCTGCCCAGTGTCTGATCCAATGGAGACAGTGAATCAAACAAATAAATATATGGCCTAAGTCTGAAATCTGTCTGTTTCTATTACTACCACCAACCTTTTTCTAATCTCTAATTAAGATAATAACGTGAATACAATATAGCAATTGACATCTGATCATTTGCTAAAATCTTGGCATCTGGCAAATATTAACTAAATTCTCACCTACAGAGTGGGTACTGTTATCCTGGGGTTATAGTATTGGCCTGAAATCACAGAGCTAACACATGAAAGGCAGGATTTGGTCTTCAAGGTCATCAGGCCCGGGTTACACCGCCTTCCTGAATAGAATTACTATTAATTGCTGACCTGGTCACGTAAGACTGCTACAAAAATCTTTATTTATTTCTTTGAGAAATGTTTCATATGATTATTTTTATTTTCGAGTTTCAGAATTGTTCAATTATAAAAGATGGCTCTTTGACTAACAATTTGGTCATTAGGCAGTTTTTCTTCCGTGCATCTAACTGAAATTTCTGTTTGTCATAATTTAAGGACTTGACTTTTTTTTTTAATTCCAGTATAGTTGGTATACAATGTTATGTTAGTTTCTCTGTACACTATGGTGATTCAACAATCCTTTTATTTTTGTTAAAATTTTATTGAGGATTTTTGCATCTAGGTTCATCAGACATATGGGTCTCTAATTCTCTTTTCTTGTGTCTTTATCTAGTATTGGCATAAGGGTAATGCTGGCCTCATAGAATCAACTTGGATGCTTTCCTTCCTCTTCAATTTTTGAAACGGTTTGAGAAGAATAGGTATTAACTCTCCTTTAAATGTTTGGTTGATGTTTGGTAGAATTCACCTGTGAAGCCATCTGGTCCTGAACTTTTGTTCATTGAAAGTTTTTTGATTATTGATTCAATTTTGTTGCTGGTAATTAGTCTGTTCAAATTTTCTACTTCTTCCTGCTTCAGTTTTGGTAGTTTATATGGTTCTGGAATTTATCCATTTCTTCTAGTTTGTCCAATTTGTTGGCATATAATTTTCAGTAATACTCTCTTACAATTCTTTGTATTTCTATGGTATCAGTTATTATTTCTCCTTTAATTTCTGATTTTGTTGTTTCAAATCCCCCCCTTTCTGTTTCTGTTGATGAGTCTGCTAAAGGTTTATAAATTTTATCTTTTCAAAGAACAAGCTCCTGCTTTCATTGAGCTGTTCTATTGTTGTTGTTGTTGTTTTACTTTCTATTTAATTTATTTCTACTCTAATCACCACTATTTCCTTCTTTCTACTGGTTTGGGTTTTGTTTGCTCTTTTTTAGCTCCTTTAGATGTAAGATTAGGTTGTTTGATATTTTTCTTGCTTCTTGAAGTGGGCATGTATTGCTCTAAACTTACCTCTTAGACCAGCTTTTGCCCCATTGTGTATTCATTTTCATTTGTTTTCATGTACTTTTAAATTTTTTTCTTTTATTTCCTGGATGACCCATTCATTGTTTAGTAGCATGTTATTTAACCTCCATGTATTTGTGGTTTTTCCAGATTTTTTCTTGTGGTTCATTTCTACTTTCATATTGTTACGGTCAGAAAATATGCAATTTATGACTTCAATGTTTTTGAATTTGTGGAGACTTGTTTTGTAACCTAATATGTGATCTATTCTGGAGAATGTTCCATGTGCACTTGAAAAGAATGTATATTCTGCAGTTTTAGGATGGAATATTCTGAATATATCTGTTAGATCCAGTTGGTCCAAGATGTCTTTCAAAGCCACTGTTTCCTTATTGATTTTGTTTGAGTGATCTGTCCATTGTCGTAACTGGGGTGTTAATGTCCTCTACTATTATTGAACTACTATCAATTACTTCCTTTATGTTTGTCATTGGTTGCTTTATGTTATTTGGGTGCTATCATGTTGGGTGCATACATATTTACAATTATTATTTTCTCGTTGTATTTCCCCCTTTATTATTACATATTGTCCTTCTTTTCTCTCCTGTTACAGTCTTTGTTTTAAAGTCTATTTTGTCCAGTAGAAGTATTGCTACCCTGGCTTTCTTTTCACTTCTATTGCATGATAAGTACTTTTTTACCCCTTCATTTTCAATTTGTCTTTAGGTCTGAAATGGGTCTTGCTTTTTTAACCATTCTGTCACCCTATGTCTTTTGATTAGAGTGTTTAGTCCTTTTATATTCAAAGTAATTATTGACAGATAATTTCAAAGTAGTCATTGGTAGATTTATTAATTTTTATACGAATATTTTTGGGTTGTAGAATGAATCATCTGAGTTTCCATTATTTCTTATGGGGAAATTTGTTTTGATATACAAGTGCTTTGGATTACAAGCATGTTTCTGGAATGAATTATGTTCACAAACAAAGGTTTTACTGTACTTTTAAGATGTGAATAACATTTAGCGGCACCTGGGAGGCTCAGTTGGTTAAGCATCTGATTTTGTCTCAGGTCATGATCTCATGGTTTGTGAGTTCGAGGCCCACATTGGGCTCTGTGCTGACAGCTCAGAGTCTGCTCCAGATTCTGTCTCCCTCTCTCTCTCTGCCCCTCTCCTGCGCTCGCTCTCTCTCTCCCTCAAAAATAAACAAACACTAAAAAATAAAAAAAAGGATGTGATTAACATTTAAATCAGTAGACTTGGAGAAAGCAGGTTATCCTCCATAATGTGGATGGGCCTAATTCAATCAGTCGAAGGTCTTAAGAAAAGTGGCTACCCTAGTATGAAGACATTCTGGAATTCTGTCTCCAAAATGCTCTCAGACTCAAGGTTATAACATTAACTACTACCAGTAATTACCACTCTGTTATGCGCCAATTCCTTAATCTCTCTCTCTCTCTCTCCCTGCACACACATTGCGCACACACACACACACACACACACACACACACCCCTGTCTGTTTTCTGGAAAACACTGACTAATATGGAGAGAAAAGAGAAAAGGGGAAAATTGAGGCAGAGAGGCCAAGATATTTGTGAGCTACTTTTCTATGCTTACTCACTCATGATTCTGAAATCTCCATTCTGAAAGTAAAAGTTTATGCACAGGAAGTTCCCAACTTCCTACTTAGGCTCTACATTTTAACGTGGAAACTCAATAGTTTCCTATAATCAACTCTTACCTTCTTTCTTGAAACAGGTTCCTGCTATCTTCCTTTCTCTTGTACTTCCACAGTCATAAATCTCATTCAAAGAAAGTGCTAAGCTATTCACAATAATTTGATACTTAACAGATTCATACAGAAACTAGAGTCCAAAAAATAAAATTTTGAAATTCAATCATATTCAGGTAAACGATTACTTTCTTTTTCTCTTATGCTTGAAAATAAAAACTGAGCTAATAATTGGTTCCTTGAGATAAAAACATACTAAGTATTTAATAAACTTATTCTGAAAAGAAATTTTTATATCAAAGGAAGTAATTTCTCACCATTTATGAGTCTCTGTCAGTGAATTCTCCTCTGCCTCTTGGTCAATTTTAGCTGCAAATGCAAAAATAGAAAAAGAAATGAGATAAATGATAGTTACGCTATCTTAAGCAAAATACGATCCAAATAATATGAAATATATTTTAATTCATTACTAATTGTTAATTCTAATATATTCCTGAAAGTTTATTTTAAATCGATTAATATGATTCAGTAGATTACATTTAATTTTCTTTACCTATGTATCAACACATAAATATATGTAAATTAAAATTTTTAAATTCTAAGTAATTCCCTTTTTTCTAAGTTAATTTCTGTAAGTCAGTCACATTAACCTGAGAAAACAAAACAGTGGCTAATTTCATAATCACATTAAATGTGTTTGTCACATTAATTTGTTTAAATTAGGATTTTAATGCCAATAATTACTTGAAAATAATTCTCTCAAGCAAAGGTAGAAAAACCAAGTCAAGAAACTAAATAGAAATGGTTGTGACCTTCTTGACTAGTGCTCTCCATACCAGACCACAAATGAACAGATACACAGATTATTTCTACAGAAGTACAGGATGAGATACTAATATTTTCTACGAATGAAAGTAGGGAGGCAATAGTGTACTCATTTATTTGCTAGCATTTTTGTCTAAACACAAATGGTAGACTGACAAACCCAAAGATCAAATTTGAGAAGGTGATTATATCATTATTTGAAATTATTTGAAAAAACATAGGAACTTCGTTACATAAAACATGTGTGGCAGTGACTTTTACATTTTTCGACCAGCAAGCATGATGTATTACTCTACATACACGCACGTGCACACACGCTGAACCTAAAGTTTAAAAAATACTCTTCACGTGATGCTAATATTTTTAGACTATTCTACTAGAATAGTGCAGTTTAGTGTAGTGTAGTGTAGTTTCAAAGTGTAGTTGTCACCCACTAAGTTGATTTCATGCATCACTAATGGTTGTCACACACACTTTGAAAATCACTAAGCAACAGGACAAAAAGTTAAAAAAATCAGTTAAAAAAAAAAAACCCCTAGAACTAGTGAAAGAAGTTGTCTTTTGGGTCACACTTGTGACCATCTGGAGAAATGAGGAGAAAAGTGGAGGAGGGCGAGTTGATTATAAAAAATTGGAACTGTGCATGAAATCAAACCCATGGTCACTTGAGAATTGTCAAAGTGTCTCTATCACTACTTAAAACACAATAATCCAGCTTGGGCTGGTTAATGTTTTACAACCTCAAGATAGTGTTTGTTCAAAGGTCTGTACAGTATCTTTAAAGCCATAATTCAGGGGCATGCTGCCACTCTTGGCCAAGATTGTCGAATTTAGCAGGGATCATTTGACCTGGCAGCAGAGAGCATTGTTTTCTCCTTTACATTTTTGTACTTTAGATTGTTTACACGAACTTACAGGTCAATTGTTAGCCATATTAAAAAATAGAATAAATGCTCCATGATTTTACTTTGAAAAGGTTCCAACATGAATACATTGTCTTATAAAATCTGCTCTGGGCTGCCTAGCTTAAAAACGGTGTGCTTCAAGAAGCAATTCTAGAACAATATAGAGTATAAGGGAAAACAAAAAAGTAGCACAATGCGTGCCATTTTCAGAAAGGACATTCTTCCAATTGCCCTCATATGTATATATATTTTTTTTCCTTTTTTAAAAAATACAGAGATTAAGAGTGAGGTTGGAAGAAAATTTCTGGATTATGTTAGAAGAATCAAGTAAACTTCTTATGAAATTTAAAACATGCTGGAATGAGGGCAAGAGATCTGTGTTCTATTCCTGATTCTACCATTAAAATTAGCTACGTAATCCCTGCTAAATAGATTAATCTGTTGACATATATAAAATATTTAACATAGTGCCTCCAATAATTAGCAGGGACTAAATAAATGTTCTTTGAAAATTCTGGATTTTAAGCTCTTGAAATTTGTCAGGTGATATATAATTATCTTTAATTGAATACATCAAAAGCTATTTTATTAGGTTTCAACTTATATGGAGATAAAGAAAGCACATAGTTACAGCTTTTCAAAAAGTATAGGCCCCTAAATTGTGGTGAGTAGAGTGAAGTGAGTTTCATATGTTCATAATGATTCCTTTTGATGTGTACTAAAACAGTTCTTGCTTCACTGCATGAGCAAGTTTGGCTTAAAAAAAAACACACACTCTAATTCAATGTGGCAAAAGATTGCATCTTACCAAGGGAACTAAACATAAAAACAGACCCTCCTCCCAAACCTAATAGCTGTATTACAATCATAAAACCAAATTGGAAGAGCGGAGAATACTTAAAAATGCTCTATTATCCATTATCTTTACATGATTTTGAAGCTAAGAGGATTTGTGTATTCAGAGTGTAATCAGCTTTGATAAACAGTCAAATGAGAGATCAAAGCAAGTGCATTAGAGTACACATTTCAACTCTTGATGTAGAGTCAACAATTCAGTGAACTAGACAGATTTTCCTTTGTATGGCAATCTTAGAAACAAAAACTTTCTGAAAAGTTGGGGTGTAATTCAGTTTTCTGGGAACAGTGAAACACAATTTTCCAACAAGCTGCTTGTACAAACACTCCATCAACATTTTGCTGTTGTGATTCTTTGAAACACACTTACGATGTTAACTTAGTGACACATGCAGCATTCTGTTTCTTTAGTTAATGAGTATGAAATCTACCAAAGTAAAATAAAATGTAATGAAGTTAGAGAAAATTAGGATATCTTTTAGCAACAAAATAAGAATAACACTGCCATTCAAGTAGGAGGTATACAAGCTAGTCCCATCCAGGGACCGGAATCTTAAAGACTGTGTTTTTCCATCTGAGTAGAAGCTTCTGACAGGCAGTGGCCATCTGTGTTATATAAATAACTTTTCTAGTAAAAGCTGAAGGTGACATAGAAATAAGATTATTTTCTATAAACCATTTCAACATCTTATTGCTAATTATTTCATTCCCTGAGCTATATTTTCAAAAATACAAATACTGTTTTTAGTTCATTTCTAATGGCACAGATGGCTTTGTGACTAGTTTTGAATGCCAGTGTTACTTTTAGCACGTTTCCTATATATTTACAACATAGTGTCAATAAACCTTTATCAATTAAGTATGCAAATTTTTCTTGATAAGAGTTATAAAATGTTCCAATTTTCTATTTAAAGGATGACTGAGTTTCCAATTCTTTGTTTTTAACTTTTTTTTTTTTAATTTTTTTTTTCAACGTTTTTTATTTATTTTTGGGACAGAGAGAGACAGAGCATGAACGGGGGAGGGGCAGAGAGAGAGGGAGACACAGAATCGGAAACAGGCTCCAGGCTCCGAGCCATCAGCCCAGAGCCTGACGCGGGGCTCGAACTCACAGACTGGGAGATCGTGACCTGGCTGAAGTCGGACGCTTAACCGACTGCGCCACCCACGCGCCCCTTTTGTTTTTAACTTTAAAAAACAATTGGTTTTGAGAGTGAAAGAGAGAGTGCATGATCTGGGAGGGGCAGACAGAAAGGGAGACACAGAATTCAAAGCAGGCTCCAGGTTCTGAGCTGTCAGCACAGAGCCCGACCCGGGGCTCAAATTCATGAACTGTGAGATCATGACCTGAGCTGAAGTCAGATGCTCAACTGACTGAGCCACTCAGGGACCCCAAATTTTCCCATTCTTTATAGCACATAGCTTATTTCTTTTTGTCATATGTCAAATGAGAATGGTGGCTTTCTAGTCATTCATGATAATGGTAACTACAGAAAAGTTTAAAAAAAGCATTAAAATAGGCAAACAGGTCCATGGCTTGGTTTAGAGTGACCTTCATATTGTCATCCAATCACCTGAGGCTCCCTGCACCTCTATTGCCAGGAAGCCTTGACCACCTTTGATGGAGGAATTGGCGTGACTCCTAATGGACACCACCAACCCAGGGCACCCTTGGCCTCAGATCCCTAGGACATGCCCTCTCCCACATGGTGCATGAAAGAGTTACAGTTCCTTGGCAAGATTCTTACCACTCAAACTCATTTTCATATCTCATCAGGGTCAGTGTTTCGGTTTAGGACACGACATTCAGAATCAGGCAGACCTATGCATGAATTCTATACCAGCCACTAAGTTGTGTTAGATTTTAATAACCTTACTAATCACATGGATTTAGTGACTTTTCTTTATCATTATAACAGGGTAATAATTTCCTTATTATGCATAAAATAATGCGTAAACCACCTGCTGCATAGGTAATAATTTTTCTGTCTTTCTTTTCCTCGCCACATTACCGTGACTATATAAAAAAAAAAAGGACTGGGATATGTTACTTTCAAAATGTAAAAATTTCTCCATTGGAGGAGCACCAAATATCTTCTTAATCCTTCTACATAGAACCCAGATTCAGAATGAGGCTTATATATTGCTAAAATAAGAGTGCCTCCTTATAATAATATAAACAAGTTATGGGCCAAGATATCACAGGAGGCTCAAACACTTTTACAAAAAAGTAAAAAATAACTCTATATTTAATATCTTTTCTTGTTTTTTATTTCTACTTAATTTGTATGTGTTGTTGTTTTCACAGGCTCCTAATACTTAGAGTATAAGCAGAGGCTAACAGTTTCTCAGTCCTTTTTGTGGAGGTACGGTAGTAAATAAAATCGCTGTAATGGGGGAAAACAGTACCTTTTGTAAATTTAGGGAAGAACTACAGAAATCCAAAAGATAAGATATTTTCAAAGTTTGCAATATTCCTCTAAAGCATGCATGTTTTACTCTAATATACTACGGGTAACCATTCCTATCTTGATGTCTGGGTTCCACAGCCAAGAAAATGTTCTGAGACTGGATGTACGGGGAACAGAGTTTAACGTGGGGAGAAGAAAATCAGAATGGTGAAATAAAACAATCAATCCTGTACTGATACTAGAAGGAAGAAAAAGTACAATGTAGTTTAAGAAAGAAGGCAAAATAAAAAGTGGTTTGTACTGACACAATCTCCAGAGAATATTAGTAACTCACAGACCTAAAATCGAAACATGTAGAAACGAATGAACCATA